TTTTACACCTAACTGTTGCCGAAAACGTCTGTAAAAGAACGGAAGTCGGTGGTTTAATTTTGTTATTATTTTCATTACATAAGAGCGAAAGAGAAGCTTCAGGGATTGGCGTTTGTTTTGTCTGATTGGAAGTATCCGTCTCTAAATCTTTCGATGCGGCGTCACATATTAACGAATTATGTAAACCTTGGACATTGCACAGTCTGCATTTTTCATCTTTATGAGCACAGAAACGCCTTGGATGCCCTTTCGAAAAGCAAATAAAACATAAACCTCGATCCATTAATGCCTTTCGGCGAGCCTTTAAATCAAGTGCGCAATCATGATTCATATGACAAGCAGATAAACAAAATATGCAGACATTTTGATTCTCTTTCTTAGGCGGGGTAGAGAACTTTCGATTTGGATTAAAATGTGATTTTTGAAAGTATTTAGAGGGAGTTTCGCTTTGACTAGTTAATACCGAAGCACCTTGCTTATTCGTACTGTAATCATTTCTTTTAGAATGCATGTAAGATTTATTTTGATAACCTTGATGGGAACTTTTGTTTCGTATTGATGTTTCATTTACATCAAAATTCTTAGAACGCGCTAACATCATTGATGTTTCCCTACATTCCACTTCCGTTTTCAAGAACGTTAGTAGTTCATTAACATCGAAATTTTGTTTATCACTTCTTTTCCTAGTGAATTCTAGAGTTAAATTCTCGGGTATTAACTTTAACAAAATAGGGGATAATAAATGTCCATAAGAACCACTAGTAACATTTAAAGAATTTAAATTCCTTATTTGTATTTCTATATCGTCATAAAGCTTCCTCAAAGAAGCCGTATTTCCGGAATATTTTACAGGTTCTAAACTCAACAATTTATTCATATGCGCATTAATTAGCAGGTCATCTCTGCCGAAACGGTTTTTTAGTATATCAACAGCCACCGTATAGTTTTCACTAGTAAATGTTAATCCACTAATAGCATTTAAAGCTAAACCTCCCAAAAGCGATTTTAAATAACAAAACTTGTCAACCGAACTGAGACTTTCGTTTTGGTGAATGGAATTACTAAACTGATTCCAGAATTCAAGCCAAGAACAAGGATCACCGTAATATTTTGTAATCGTTAATTTTGGCAATTTTAAAGTATTAACTTCACAAGTTTTCAACTTCGGAGATATAGTTTCCTCACTAGAATTTCTAGATTCAACTTTACACGCGTTTTTTCTTAATTTTTCCTGAATTTTACATTTAAAACTTATAATTCTTTCCTGATATTCCTGCGCGGAAATTACTTCTGTTTCCAACTCCTGTTCCGTAATTATAAGTTTTTCAATCTCAGAATCGTATTGTTTCAACAACTGCGATTTTTCAAGTAACATTTCGAGTAATTCTTTTAATTTCTCATCCGCGGTTTCACCCTCTTCTAACAATGCAGAATCTATTTTACTCATCAACTTAGGTAGTTAAGTTACGCGTCACCGTACGCAACTTCTTTGCCTTATTCATAGCCTCCATTTTACCATTAGATTCTATCAACTATAATAATCACCAAGATTTTTATTCAACAATTCTATTCAAAACTGGAAAAATGAAAAAGGGCCTACCTCGAATTTCTTCGCGTTAAATCCTGGCTTTTCAGTCATGAACTCACTAATTTTCTTCGTCCATTCTTCATCTCCACAAATCAAGTCCGGTGTCACCAGAAAAAAATGTACGTATCCAAATGATCAGAAGGTTGTTGATGCTTGTTCCTTGATCTATTGCACCAAGATATTTTACTGTACATTTATTTACAATTTATTTACAAGTCGTATGCCACCTGGCATGTTTACAAGCGTTATGCCTCCTGGCATGTACATGATAGACATATTCTGCCACCTGGCATGTGAATTGATACATCATATTAGTTTTCTGCCACCTGACAGATACGATGCAATTACCTCAATTAGCGGTAATACGCCCGACATTTTGGCGTGTCCGCTTCCCTTACGTTCTGTAACGCAACTAACTTTTTGTGCGGTGCGCCCTCTGGGCACAAATCACCGCAATCACCGAGGAGGCCAAAACATATATATTAAAGTTAAAAAAGTTGTCATTTTACATATTCTAAGGCACAGTCATCTTTAACACTCTCGAGTACACCCCTTCATGCTGGAAAATTTTAAACTCCATTTTATTTTATTAAGGGAATTATCTTTTTTTTTTTTTTTTTTTTGCATCAGCCTCTTTTTTTTAAAGAATAATTCACCCCCCTTGCAGTTTTCTATATATATAGCAAACATGCTGTTCAAAAATATTCAACCTGTGTCTTGTTTTCTGCAATAAAGTATTGACTTGACTAAAACCTGCTTTCGCTAAGCAAGAAGAGGGAAAAATCAATAATGTTAATCAACGACTTTTATCTAGGGATTTCTATCTGATGGCATTTAAATTCCAAAATTTAGCATAGCCATGAGTTTTGAATAAGGTTTGAACCTATACGATTAGATTTATATCAATAAATAAATGGTCAATATTGACCCCTGGTCTAGAGGCTAAAACTAAGGGGCAAAATCTACAGCAGTGAGAACAGCTACAATTCCTTATGCTGCAGTCTTCACATTTTAATGCTGGCACAGCACTCTTCTGCTAATTCCATCAGGTATGGAATGTACCACCTGTCTGTATTCTATGAGATTCACTTTTATTGATTTGTTTAAAGCATTCTAAATGTGGTCATTAACAGGTTTGATCACTTTTTTTCTGAGCAACAGCTCAAGTATTGAAACCAAATGCTGATTTCTTTCCTCTGATAATTTTACTGCTGTTTTTTTTTATTGTCCAAACTGAGGCAAACTTTATTATAATACTTGTTAAGGTAATTTTTATTTGTAATAGAGAAATCTGCATGTATAAGTGATTGAAATGGAATCTAACTGCTCTATTTCTTTTGGACAATTTTTTTTTATTTATTTATTGCTAATGCAGTGCACTATCATAATATTTATTCATTGATATGTTTGCCTTTGTAATGTTTGTTGTATAGTCATATCATATAAGTGGTTGTTTTGGGGGCTAAATGGTATCTAGTGAATTTGGACTGCATAGAATTATTTTTCTGCTTTAAGCCAGCTGTTTTTATAGTAATAAATATTTAAATTACATTTTTTGCATAACAACTTCTAAATTTAGCATACAAAATGAGAATATGTTAAGTGCATGATAAGTAAAAAAAGATTTGATTTTATGAATAAAATTTAATTTTATCTATTTCTGTTGGTGGGTTTAATTATTCTTATACTAAGTCAAAAGTGAGAGTTCTTTTAATATGTTGGTATCAAAAGATATTCCTTTTAGAATGCAGTTATAACTTTATCACTTGGCTGATAGTAATATCAGAACAAGTCTATGAAATTTATCATAGTAATATATAGTTTAGGATAGTGTCTATTGTTATCATGGGCCTTGGCCTTGGAAACTGTACAGGCGATGGTCGACTTTCTAATTCCATCCCAGCTTTGAAGAAGAATCCTCCGAGGGTATTCCACTCCTCATCCCCCCACCACCAAACCGCTTGAAAGTTGAAGCTTTCAGCTTGCCTTGTATTTTATGTGCTCCGATGTTGCAAAGGCACAAATTTACAATTTCTGCATTTACAAACGCCAAGCCTTCTCTGGGATTCAAACTCAAGCCCAATTATACAGCAATTAACAGCGGTAACCATTATATCATTCATTGTCACCTTTTTATATTACTATTGTTATGAACATTTATCTTTACTTTAAATAAATATATAGCATTTTATGTCCAAATGCTCTTTCAACCTCTTCATTGCATGGAGAGAAAGAAAAAAAAGGGGGGAAGGCAGATTTTTTTCCTTTGATGTAATGTAAATAATTTCTTGGAATTTTATGCATACTTTTTAAACAATTGTTAAATGTTATTTAATAATAGATTTAAGTATTTAAGAAATTGAATTTTGGACAACAAAAGGCTTAAAAAATACTTACAACAAAAAAATATGTAACTGTGATGTTTTAATCGTATAATAATAATATATATTAGTTACTGGTAATATAATAAAAATTTGACAATATTTCTTTTGATATAGGAAAAAAAATGTAGGAAATTCTTGAATGAAATGTTACATAAATAAATAAAAATGTTTTTTAATTCTGCAATCATAATTTCTGCATGTATATACATTCACCAATATAGTATAAATAATAACTATTGAAATTTATTGCACAATTCCTTAATAATAATATAAAAATCATGCTAGGGAAAGCAAAAGCAGGTATAATGATATAAATTTTTCTAAATATTTTGAATGATTTTTTTGTTGTCCAAACTATCTGATAACTTTTTATGTAAAACAAGTTTGCATTTTTTAATATTTTATAAGTATTGCCTAAAAGATTAATATGTATACAGACATTTTCTGCTTATTCAGTACATTAAAGATCTGAGCAGTTGTCAAAAGTAAGAAATCTGTGAAAAGAATGTCCTTTCTTAGTCTGCAAATGCATTTTGGCAATGAAAAACATATGTAATATATTATGTGTCATTTAGAATATGAGTGAAAATTATATAGCTACTTTATATATATAAAAAAAACTGCAGAAAAGTAAGCAAAAGTTATCCTTTAAATATATGTCCCTTGATAAAATAGGTCAGAACAACAGATTAGTCTTGGAAAGTACAAGTCTGATTGTAATTTTAAAATATTTTAGGAAATGTATCATTGAAAATTGGAGACGTCTGTTTTGATGTAAGATATGTTATATGTTGCCTTGTATAATGAGTATATGAAATGAGTGTTTTCTATCTACGTAGTAAAATAATATTTCTTGTAATAAGTATTATGTAATAGTAGAATTATTGTATGTATTCATGTAAATATGATGCAGTTGAAGAAACATATACTCATGATGATTACTGAAATTTGAATTAAATTTTCAGCATAAACAAAATATAATATAGAACTGTTTTCATTGTGATTTAATATATATGTTGTTATTTCAGGCTTTACCTGACATCAAAGTAGTTAGGAATGTACCTGCCATTACTGTTGAAGAAGTTGCTCCAACTAATGTCAGTGATGCAACACTTTTGGCACCTGAAGAAGTTAAGGTATTGTATTATTTCTGTTTATTTGGAGTACTGCAAGAACAAGCTAATATGTGCTCAAGTGCATTCATGAATATGTTTGCCTCATGAAATATCTCCATCAGGCTTGACTAAAATAAGGAAGTAAGACTGGCACACTGTTGCCATCAGCATTATAGCTCATATGTGTAATCAGCCTTTCAGAGTCTGTCATGCATAATTCTGGTAGCATTGTATCATTTAAATATTGTTTGTAAATATCTCTATCACCATTTAACTCCTGCATTTGTTTTGTTACTGCATATGTGTCGTATTATATTTAGGCATCTGTATTTGGCTAATTTCTCCACACTGTCATTTGAACCCTTAGGTAATTGTATCATTAAGTGTGGTATTTGTGTGTATCTGTGAGTATTATTTACCATTGGTTTAGCACTAATGATCAACTGTTTGCACATGTTAACAGAACTGTCAGTTCTGAATTTGATTCTTCCCATGAGCAAAAAAAAATTCTACTGTTGCAAAATTTAAGATGGCTTTTTTGCTACAACTGATGAAAGATATTGTAATGCAAATTAGCTGCATGTATACATGGGTGCTTTTGATATGCATGCCATTAAAAATGCTAAAATTAGGGTCCACACAAAGTATTTTGAGGTCAGCAAAGCTTTGGTAAATTCTGCAATGACCAAGTGTTTTTTTTTTTTTTTTTTTTTTTTTTTTTTTTTTTTTTTAAGGCTTTTGAGAAAATTAGCTGGGAATGGAGATTTAAAGTTATCTTTATTGATCCTTAGGCTATCATTAACTCTCTCAGCATCATGGACGTAAAATTCCATATAAAAGAGTATCTTTCTTATTCATTACACGTGAAAATTTCCGCCAGCTTTTAATGTATCCAATTTCGGGTTAGTTGTATATTGGAAGAAAAAGAATCAAGGTGCAAAATGAGAGACTTGTTTTTTAATTATAATCAAGAAAGTAGCATTTATTCATAACATTTTGAGAAACTTTAAAATTTCAGGGCTGTGATAACTATTTACATTACTACTCATTAGATTCTATTCGAGCATAAAATGCAGAGGCAAGTGATCATTCCACTCGTTATTGACACACACATGATTTATTTACATATAATACCATGGTTACGTACATAGTTATTAGGCAAATGCCTTCGATATTGTTAGACTTAACACCTTCACTCTTGCAAAACTGAAGTTGTTATCGAATAACTTCAGAGAAAGGATGCTCGGAGTGCTACTTAATAACTTCAGAGACAGGATGCATGGAGCACCACCTAACAACGGGAGCTGTCAAATAATAACAAGGGCTAAACCTGTAATGCTTGAAGATGCTTTCTTCTGTGTCCCTTGGTGGTAAAAAATCACATTATGATTGCCAGATCATTCTTGACTCTCTTTTCAAAAATGAATGATGCATTATTTTACAATCATACTTGCACCTGGTTTCTTTGCTTGACCACCAAAATGAAGCTTATACAGTAGAACTGTTGAGCATTAACAATAAGGATGTATATGCAGCATAATGCTAGAAACTGCCCAAAATTATAAACAGGAAAAGGTATTCAGAATTTGAGATTCATGTAACCCTGAGCCAAGTATGCTATGTACAGGGACTGAAACACTCTCTACTGCCTATAATTAAAAATCTATAACAAACCAATCACGACATGTGTGTGTTTAATTCTGAAACATATAAAAAGAGAAATAAAACAACAATACCACACTCAAAATAAAAGTCTAGCTACAGTTCTCTTTCTAGCTTATACTAATACTAAAAGTATAAACTTAGAGCTTATACTTTTTGATGAAACGGGCACAAGGGAAGGTACTCTTAAACACCTTGGAAAAAAAAAAAAAAAAAAAAAAAGGCTATTTCTCTGTAATGAAAATACATAATGGCTTGTCTTATCTCTTGGAATTACCATGGTTTTCATCAGAATCTTGTTGATGGAAAAGCCATAATGGACATCGTTATCCAGTTTGCTTTGCTTGTCAAGAAATTAACCTTAAACTGAAGCATGTAAAAAGGCTTAGATCATTATTATATTACAAGAAAGAACATAAGTGATGAGGATTATTCTTCTGGAAGTATAGCTTTCTTCAGTTCTTGTCATCATCCATTATCTGTCCTTCCAGTTGCAACATGGCTACAGACTGTAGCAAATCAGGTATGTTGGATCTTTTCCATAATGGGACAACCTTTTGGAAACTTTTTCTGACAAAAATGAATCTCTCAGAATAGTTATTTTCATAATGAAAGCTAAAATAGAATGGCATGCTTCTAAACTTTTTATTGACACTATTTGCTTTAAAATAAAAACACTGTTATATGAGATAAATATAGCACATTTAGTTTAAAGATGGCTTTTGAGCAGCATTGTCAGCTAAGATCTATTCAGTATTGTTTAGCATATGTTGTCCTTCAATGGAAAATGTGTAAAATGCCTAATTACAATTTGTTTTTGATGTTTTCCACTAAATAACTTAGTTGCTCCACAAGTATTAGATGAGTTGATAGAACAACTACCAATTCTATTCAACTGCCAATTCTTTTATATTTTAATGGTCATAATCCATTATGAAAAAACCACTATTAAAACATGCACAGAAGACAAACTGAAAAACTTTTAAATATTCATTGTCCTTTGCCTCCTCCATAATGGATTGGATACCTATTTTTGTGAACCATCTATAATAACTTGTATGTTTGCTATTCATATTGCCATACTGTTACTTCACTCTTGCAAAAGATCAGTGTGATCATGATCACTTTCTGATCATTTTATTGTTTGCAGGAAAAGGTATATCTGATATGCCTTGGCCTAAACACCTCTTGTTTACTAGATCTAAATAGGTTCTTTTTGTTATTCCTCATTTTGCTGTTACTGAGGATGGTGTATGACCATCCTATCAAAACAGTAAATGCATGTACTAAAACAATAATGCAGGCACCCGAGTGCTCTGTTTTTAAGTAATTAGTGAGTCTCCCAAGATATCTAAAACCCTGATAAAATACTGAATTGAAAAAAGCCATAGCCTACAAAATGACATGGGAAATTTTCAGTGCTTCTTGACTAGCCCACTGGTCTTGTGAAGTAAAAAGGAAGCTAAAGCAAAATTGGGGAAAATATGATTTGGAAGCTGGAAATAATCCTGGACCTGTATGTGTCATATGTAACATCGTTAACACCAAGCAAGCTTAGCTGGAACAGTATTCTTAAAGTATTGGTACTTAATACAAACTGCTTCCTTACTCAGTACTATAAAAAAAAAAAAAAAAAGGATAAAGCAGTCAGCAACAAAAAAAGAAATAAGTCACCACTAGTAAAGAATCTGCTGATGCTTCCATTTTTTATTAACAAAGCAGTGAAAACTCTGTTTAATTTTACAATGCTTGGGCTATGAAGGCCCTTATCATGCACTGTAAAAGTGCCCCAAGCCTTGATGGCATCGAATAGATCAAGATATGTCACCTGTTCTTCAAGCCATTGATTCTTTCACTGTATTATTAAATGACTGTATTATACAGACTAATGTATTAAGTGACTGTATCTTTCACTGTATTATTAAGTATAAACAGAACAGATATTTCCAGCTGTATAAAACAACTGCTAAACCAAGCCGAAACATTTTGAATCTACTTTACCTGCAGCTAAACTAGAGACAGATCCAAAAAACCTCAGCTATTATTTACTAGCTGTATCGTAAACTCATGGTAGACACACTAAATTCCCACCTAATTTGCTATTTGGATAAGAAGAGTACATGTTCATTACCATACAAAAGTAGCTTTTGGTAGGGCAGATATACAATGGACAACATTTTGCTTTTAGGAGAATGACTGTAAGAAGTGCTTTTTGCAAGAGAAACTACTACTTTGCCATATTCTTTGATTTGTAAAGGGCCTGGGACAGAACATTTAGGCAGATATTTTACATGACTTGTACAGTACAGAGAAATGAAAAGAAAAGAAATGTTGTATAATTAAAATTTATTTTCAAAAGTTGCATATTGACTAATATATCACTAATGAATTTTTAAAAATATCGTCTACTTCATTTTAAACTCCAAAATTTTTTAGAATTGTCATATTAAAGCAGATTGCTCCTCAAAAGTATTAATAGTAGCTCATTAGAGTGAAGCTAGTTTATCACCCACTACAAAAATCTTACAAACTCTTTCTGTAGTAAACAAATGGCACCTCTTGAATTTCCTGTACTTACTGCTGTTCTGTCACATCCAACCACTATAGGTTGGGGTACTTATAGTTAAAATATATGATTCAGTTTTAAGTGAATAGTAATTTCTTTGATCACCCACAGAGACCCCACAGTGCACTTAATTGTTTGAATTATGTGACTCAAAAGTACTGGAAGGCAGATAGCTAATGGCTAAATGACAGATGGGAGGCATTTATAAATAAATGATATCCTATAAAGAGACATTCAAAAATTTATCAAGGAAAATGGTTTACTAAAATAAAGAAAATTTGTTACTTGCAAATAAGTAATAAATTGAAATTCATGAAAACTTAGCATAGAATGCTAAATCAAATATAAATTGGAGGGACGAAATCATTATACAGTACAAAGTCCGTAATCCGGACTCGTCGGGACTTCGGCGATTCCGGATTATAGATCATCAATTTAAATCTGGTAAGACGGCATGCCGAAATTATACAATTAAAAATATGAAATAAAGAGCAATTATGATCTAAAGGGTATCAAAATTTACAAAAAAAAAAAAAAAAGCTTAATATTTATTTGTTTACTTTAGTAAACATTTCTATCGGTGTAAATTGTTTAAGTTGCTTCGTTTTTTGTGCTAATACTTTCTCTTTAATTCTGTAAACAGACATAATTTCTTGCTCAGTTATAAAGTTCCACTGTTCAAGTTCTGTAATTGTTGTGTCGAGAATACCGACTAACTTGTCAATCAAATTTTTTTTGTTTTCAATAACGTTCTGTATTACTTTCTTCAGTATCGGAAGCGCGCATGTGTAGCGGATGCGCGCATCAAATGCACATGCGTAATTTGTGGCTTTGAGGTCTGGATTATAGATCATTCCAGATAATGGACGTCCGGATTAGAGACTTTGTACTGTAA